TTCCAACATTAAAAGTGTTGCGCGCTGTGTCGCTGTATCAATACTCAAGCTGTGTGAACACCTGAAAATCCACTGTGTTACCCAGGCCTATTCGGCACTGAAATAATTTTTAACGATCGGCCAAAAGCGATTTGAAAATATTCAACTGCGGGGTTTCCTCTCATCTCATTTCTCCATTTTCAAATAATTTGCATTCACTTTGCGTCATGAAATTAATATTAATTAGTTTGGACTTCTTCGAAAACTGTAATCGTTTACTAATCTAAATCGCTTTGGGGTAAATATTTTACTAGATTTTGATCACTTCGCTTATCTTATCTCATGGAAGGGATCCATATAAAGCGTAAAGTATTCGATGGATGATTGGGCAATTTGAGCATGCGGCACCAGAAGACCGATCTAACGGACCTTTAATGGATCTCTTTAAACTGTTGTCGAAATGAATGCTCTCTTCATTCACTGTTGTTCACCTTAAGTGAGCAGACCTAGGCCAACATTGACCATGAGCTTCTAATTCATTTTGCGATTTGCGCGATAAGTCTAGCAATGAATTGCTCGTTTGGTAAAGTACGCTAATATCGTTTACACACATTTTGTGAAAGTCATCATACGTAGTGAGTCTATTTTGAAATGCTGCGGCTTTTTATTCACTTTAGCGCTTGTAATCTCGCATGTAGGATGACAGAACACAATATTTTGTGTGATTTTTATGTGTGATCAGTGTCCATCGGTCCTGGATTATTTCTAGTGGAAAACATGGTTTTTATGAAGACGAATGTCCCACCGTAAGTTTCCTCACTTATGTCCTCTTAGCTTGAACTTGTGGTATAGATTAGGGGGCTGAAGATGCGTTTTTATGGCTCGATGAGCGCTAGTTTGGAAATCGCACTAACTAAACACCAAAGTTATAACAGAATGTGTCAACTTGCGGTCGTCACAAGTGTTTGTAATAACGAAATTGGTACCTAATATTGCGATGAACTGGAATAACTGGTATTTAAACGAAGCATTAAGCTCCACATACGGAAAAAACGTTCGATTGCTGAGAGATCTAGTCCTCTGATAGTTCTTGAACTAGTTTATAAAGCGCTATTTAGACTCAGCTTATCAAAGAGTGGCGGCAAATTCGCCTTTGATGGGTGTATAGCAATGTTATTATCACCCTTTGGATCGTTTTACCATATGCAAGATGCCCGGAGTGTTGATTAATTCCATTAGAGATCAGTGGCTCATTTGCAGCCTATCTGCCAGTGGGTTTCTGCACGAAACCGAACACATTCTGTCCCGTTTATCATTCATACTAGTTGGGTGCGATTGTCTAAAGTACATTTCCATCATTTGATAGAGGTTTAGGGGACTCATCACTGTGCTGGTCGTAATCCGGAAAAATTGCAGACCGAACTGCTATTTACGTGTGATCTGTGTCGCACACATTGGATTTTTCAATGGAATAATGTTTTTCTTGAATAGGAATTGGCCACAGTAAGTTTAATATACTTTCTATATTATGCGGGCTTGTTTCAACAACTCAGGTATTAAGCAAAGTTAAACTGGCTGATAAACGCGTTCTTTACTATCCACTGAAATAATTAAACGATTGCCAAGTCATGTTTTCAAGTGCTCTCCCAGCTTGTAAGAACGAAATACTTATAGTCGAGATAAATTGTTTGGTAAATTGAACTTAGGATTGTAGCTAATCGTGAATTTAGACGTGAATTAGAATAATTGATGTAAAGTTTTTCGGAGGTTCTGGTTAGCCTGGATTGGGAGCCAAATTTTGCCGATTTGCACGATGTTTTCTACACACTCGTTCTGAATATCGCGTTTTTTATTCAATAAGTGAGCTTACATATGCACAGTCCCCACTTTGTTTCTTCTAATTTCACGAATATATAAATAATTTGACCCACTCATTTTGTAGCAATAATTGTAATTTTCTTCCTATTGTTTTCACTGAATGCTCCTGATCTTTGCACGCCGGCTCTCGCTTCCAACGTAAAAAGTAAAGATGTTTTCTAAATAGCAGTCAATGTATTGTGTGCTTATTTGGATTGCAATTAATTCGTCAATATTACTTAGTAAACAGTTAACTATTTACTGTGCTTTATGTCATATTAATTAATAGCGCTATCTTAGTCGATTAACAATTTGACGTCATATTATGATTTTCTGAACAGCGACCATGAATAGTCAACTTACAATCACAGTTTCGCTCAAAATGTTTTCAAATTTTTATGCCCAGTCGCATGTTTATCAATGTTGTTTCAAATCCCAATTAAATAATTGCATCTCATTAATTCCAGATTGGAAGTCATGGATGGAGACGACGATTCCACATGCTACAACAATCCCCGATATGCGACTGAATGTTCGCGGAATATGAGTAGCCAAAGTAGTCCTAATTGCGAACAAGTCGACATGTCCTTTATGATGATTGACTATCTCAAGGATGTGATGAAGGTACCTTCATTTTCATATTAGTTTAACATTTCGGTTTAACGCCCATTGTAGCCGATCCGAATAGCGTGAAACAAGCAAATACTGCAAAAAAATCGG